ACAGTTGAAATTTTCATAAAATTCCTGCAGTGTGGAAAGAAAAGTGTAGTAGACGTTAATTCTTGCACATAAACGTTACGAATTTTCTGCAGAGTTTCAACTATCACCTTCAGCCATTGGCTTTACTCAAAAAGCCCATATATGATGATAACCCAGATTTGAACCTCCAAATATTTCTTTAGATTTATGTGAAATGTTATAAATTAATAAACAGAAATGGCTGACACTCAGATGGCTGTAAACGTGTCATAATTCACATAATTATACATTAAATAATTTACTTACTTACGATGGTCTTGTCTATTGATGGATCTGTGCGGATTACTGTGTCATTTGGGAACATGGCATGAATCCTGCAGAAATCTGGAAAGAGAAATGCAACATTTCTAAATATTAGTAATTAAAACAAATCCTGCCTGTATCATTACTTTTAAGTGCGTGTACCAATGATGCTACAACTATAATAAACTAGGTGTATCTTCATAAAATAATTTTTCAGTTCCTACTCTAATATGACGATTGTATGTTAAGAACGTTAAAGTCTCGGAAACTTAGATTAAAAATGGAGGCACGCAGACGACCTTTGACATTATTCATTTGTTTTATGTACGAATTAGTTCACTTTATGAATGAGACTGTAAAAATGAATACAAAATTTATTTTTGGTGTTTAGGTGGGAGGAAGCTCAGATACCACAAAAAATTGTGTACATGCAGGAGTTTGTGTGTTTACAGTCCACATAGAACTGAAGTAACATAACTTTAAAACTTTTATTGCACATGTAAATGTTTTTGTATAGTAGAGAACAGAATAATGCGAAGGCCTCTAGTTGGTGGAAGACTGTTTTATGTGAAGCAGTTAAAGTATTTTACAAATACTGGAAGCTCTCATATACACAAGCCCAGTTCTGTCTTATACGAATATAAAACACAGCGGTCCTTCGTAATTTATAATGCTGTAACGACATACACATTTCGTTCCAAAACTGAATGCCACATAAATAGTTTTAATATTAGCTATGAAGGTATGAAAAACGCCAATATATTTATATATTTGTAGTTTGTAGTTTAGATGCGTCATATATTTATTTATTTTTTTAATTTCGTTCAAAATGACCCCTGATCGAGTAACTTTTATTTTTTTAATTTCTTTCAAAATGACCCCTGATCGAGTAACTTCCACTAGCAACCAAAAACAGTCTCATATTATTTCTGCCCCTAAAAATACGCGGCTCCTACACTGAGCCAGGTAATATTCAGAACGGATTTTGTGGCAAAGACAACTAAAAATCGATTCAAAACAAACTTTTCTTCCGGAACTTTTGTTTGGTTGGTTTTATTTCTGTTTACAGACGGGCTACAGCCGATTCTCAGAAATAAAACCCACAACGCGAGCTTTATGTCTTCAACCAAGTCGCTTACGAAAATAAATTTTACTCTTCGCGGAATCCAACACCGGTCCAAAAGGGCAGTTTGTGGGAGAGTACAAAAAGCCCGGAAATTTAATTTACGTAATAAACACAACGATTATAAATTTTCGAAGCAAAGAAAATGTTAAATAACGTGATCACTCTGGATACAGGTGTTCTTTAATACGAAACTTTTAATAATTGTCTCAGGATTTCTTTTGTTGTGAACGAAATTCATTTTCTAATTTCTTGTTGTCTTAAAATTTTGTAAGAAATTAAACGTTTAGAAAATAATAATTATATTAATAGTTTCTCTCTCGCCCTGAGGGTAGAACTGAGACTGGGTGTGTTTGAGAACAGGGAGATAAAAAGTTAAGGTAAAAGCTGGAAACAGGTCTGCTTGTAAAGCAGATCTTAAGAGGTGTTTTTATTTTCAGTGTCTATTGGCAGGCTCTGGGACAATGTTGGCACGTGCCCATTACATTTCTAACATAGCCACGTGGCAACAAAGTATGTGATGGACTGTCCTTCTGAGCGAAAGTTGATTCTGTCTGCCCCCCCCCCCCCCCCCCAAACCAATAAACAGAAAACAAGCAGACAAACGTTGTTAAAATTGGGTTTACAGGTAAGGTTTAGAAATGAAATTTAAAATGATAACACTTGTAGGTTGCAGTCTTAAATTAATGTGTAATTTAAAGGAATTTGTGGTAAACTATAGGTAAGAAAGTTTAGATTATGGATTTTGTTTAGTAATGCATCTGTTTAGAAACAAAGAAGTAGTGAAAGACAGTGCCCCCTTTTCATCAACTCTCTGAGTTCACAGATGCATAAACATGCAGTTCGACAGACAAGTCTCGGTCTGTACGGATGGGAACTCTCACCTTTTTTTAAATAATGTGCGTGGCTGCCCAGTTATAATGTTTTAGAGTTCTCTAAACAACAGCAGATGAGTAAATATAATGTGGAAGAATACAATCTGCAGATATAGAATGTAAAACCACCAGAAAGATAAATAAACAAATGGAACTTCCTTCTCAACTACAGCTTCTTTCTGTTAAGAAAGTTCTCTATAATTGTATAGCATTCAAAATTCATTTTCTACTTAGAACTTATTTTAAATCGTATTATAATTCATTTTTGGCTGAGTTCTTAACAAAGTTGTCATGTCTGTCTGTCCGCACGTAACAATCAACTCGAGAAGCAATAAAGGGATTTTCATGAAATAAGATGTCGAGCCATTTTACTAGAATTTACAGAAACGTCATAATTTTTAGATGAAAACGAAAAACTAAAGAAATTTACGGACACTTCATATGAATACCTACACTTTTCTCTAGCAGGTCCGGTTCCTGGGGTTACAGGGCCATACGAGGTCCGGCAAATCCTCCAGATGCCAGAGTGACTATGGCGGAATAACCTTTTGGTCTCGTTCACATAGATGCCGTTGGGTCCACCGCTTATGATGAACCACCAATCCGTAGATATCGCCACGATCCATAGTATGACGCACAAACCGATCATCACGGTACAAGAGAACAGCATTCTCCTCTCAACAATCAGTTTCCTGCTTTGCGACTTTTCACGCTTGCTTCCCATCTCCTCTTCGAAATAATTACTAATTTTACACTACAAATCCGTATTTTTTAACTTAACACTTCGATAAAATCAGACAAAGTAATTTGTAATTGATTTTCCGTACTTTCTGAACACTTTCACCTAGTAATTTGGTACAAAACTTTGTGACCTGTAATTTAGATGAAAGGCAAAGACACGTCTAATAAGTACGAAGAAATGTAATTGATAATAATGAACTGGTATCTTACACGCCTCGAAGTTTCAACAAGTTTCCGAAACAACCAGTCTTTTATTTCATAAATGTCTGTGTTGTTGTAGCTTAAAATTTATCAAGATGTTTGAATAACTCTTATATATGAATAATAGCACATTCTCAAATGATATGCAACACTTTCATTCATAGTTATATTAAACTAATTGCCTAATTCCGATTGTCTGAATTTTGATTTTTAACATTCAGTTCAATTAACACTGCCGATCTTTTACACAATGTATCTGAACCTTTATTTAACCACTGAATAAATTCATAAGTTAAAGATATGTATCCACAAAGCAAAAATTTCCTTCTTGAAACCGAATGTCTCTAGCAACATGCTATTATCCACTCCTGTTCAAAGTAACTTGCCAGTAGATCGAGAACGATTGAATTAACAGTTCTGCTTGTTCTTGGCTCGAAGTTCTATTTTCGTGTGACAATCTGTTTATCCGAAAGATGCAAATAGCATGTTGTGCCCCCTTGAACAGTAGCTTAGTACTCTATAACTTTAAAATTGGACACTGGTTCACAATTGTTATTGAAAACGAAGGATATCACAACACTCAACAAAGGCTTGTTACTTCGTTACACAAAACTTCTGTCATGTATCTCGATACGAAACGAGAGATTCACATTCGTGAACAACGGTCTTCCTAGATCAGAAACAACTCGCATTGATGAATACAGCGGACTGAAGAATGTTTACCGACCTGGGCAAACCCGTTTCTTTACCCCTACCCCACTCCATCCCACCCCCTCCTGAGCCATTGTTATAGCTTTGGGGCAGGCAGCATGCCAGATGCCAAGTTCAAAGTCGATGTTCCCAACTAGAACCTACGAAAATATAAAAAGGCATTTGTGACGCTTTTACATTACAGCGTGTGTAAAATGAATCGATTGATGCAGCATTTACACGTAACTATGTCACGAAAGTAG